AAGAGTTGTTCTTCATAATGCTTTGGATAATGACCATTGCCATGACTTTATTTGTTCCATTATCAAGATAATCCATAACTCGAGGATAATTAGAAAGTGTGAGGGCTGTGACAATGTCGTCGTATTTCTCCAAGGGAGCACTTAACAGTGCAACAACCTGTTTTGTTGCTCTATGGTCTTCAAGTTTGGTTTCTCCGGATAGCTTCTTAACACATGCTCCCTGAAAAAAAAAAATTAAGATTTTAATTATCACCAGTTACCTTTGTTGTTACAAAACATGGCCCACATAATCCATCTTGAAATGAAATTCAAAAGAAGATTGCATCCATGTTGCATGGCTATGTTGACAGGCTGGTATACCCCATCAAAAGGCATGTAGTTTGGGAAAATTTATAGTAACTAAACATATTTTTTTGAAGACCTTACCAGTACTTGATCCACATAATCAAGGCGATCAGGATGAACACGGAGGGTAAATGTAAGAAGAGAGACATACAAAGATATGGCTCCAACAATAGGCATGTCCGTTTGTGCTTCTATCACCTGAAATTTAAATATAGGTGATATATTAAATTAGCACACACTTCTAGACATCAAAGATACGTATGTTTCATGCTTAACACGAAACAACAAATGGATCCTATCTAATAAAGAGGCTGTTGGTTGGACAACAAATTAGGTAGTGTGCAATTTTCAATAAATAAGAAGTCACCCCCAAAAACATCTCTCCATATTGTACTCTGCCTCCATTACTACATCCTTTTAGCAAAAAAATTATCGCTTTGTCCATTCATTGTTTTCCCTTGGCATACTACATCCTTTTAGAAATTCAAAACGTTCACTTTGGACTTTTTCTACAACAAAATTTAAAATAAATACTGCAGAAAGTGCACTGAATTGCCAATTATTACTTGCTGGATCGAAGTGTAGTTGAGAGAGTAGCCATCAATGTAAACATTTACTTCAACGAACTAAGGAACTTACCCACCCAATGGCACTGCTTAATTTAGCGAAGGCTTCCACTTGAAGAAATTCAGGTAATACCTTGAACGAAAATCCACAATCATCAAAATTACAACACCCAGAAAGAGAGAAAGGCCATAACAAGAATGAAAAACAGAATAAAAAATTGCGGAAGCGCGACTCAAAAGATAACTTTTAGATAACTCACATCTGTACTTGACGCAGCATAGTTTGATAACCTCTCCATTAATTGAGATAACACAGTCTTGATATCAACTGTTGGCTGCATTTGAAAATATATAACGCAGAGGGTAAATGAGTTAAAAGGTTGCTTTATTGGGTATAATATCTCGATATGAATAAATGACAATATAAGGCTGCTATGACCCACAAGAAATCGAAGCAAGTGGCCAATTTGGACTCTGTGGTTTGAGCTGTTATTTCAACTATACATTCGACCAAGCAACCATTGATTAACATATGCATTTATCATTACATATGTACTCAAATAAATAAATAACCATGCATAATCATGTGAAAGTAAAAAAAATGAGAGAAAAATGACACTGCTACGCACCTGAAGCTGGGGGAAGGCAGCCAACAATGTCTCCAGCGTCTGCAAGTGGTACTCATCTGGAAAGACCTGGATTATGCAATCCATCAAATAATATTGGGCCAGCTCATCTTTACAGTTGATAACCTGCGCACACCAATTTGGATAAAAGTTTGAAATATTAGAAAAGGAACATTGAAAGTATTCAAGAGTTGACAAAAAGACAATCTTATTAAGAAGGGGAGCAGATTAAAGAACCTGTTCTAATACTCTAGGAAGAACAGTGGCTTTGTACATTTCAAGTTCCACACCCTCTATCTGACTGAGAACATGGAGATTCTTCCCAACCTACCAAGACAATTCAGAAAGGTGTAATTTCTCTATTACAATGTGTTATGCAATGATTCATCTGCTGATAGGTTCAGATTTTTGATATTACAAGATCACGAAGTTCGCTTCTTTCCTTTTCGCGCTTCTCTCTCACATGACCAGGTCCCTGCAGACCAGAAAGCCCAACAGAAGGCTTCAACTCAGGATCGCCAAAGAGTATGAATGATTCACAAGCACCATAAGACCTGCATGGCCAAAAATCATGCCCTCATGGTTCATTTTTACCTCTATGGCATGCAAGTACTCTGGTGCCATGCATATTCAGACATTAAAGCAGATAAATTTCATAGATGTCAAACAAACCTGATACTGCATTCGAACCCAAAGCTTATTCATTTCTGTAAAATTCTGTAGCACAAAATCTACAGCATCCATGACAGTGTCAGCATCCCTGCAATGCAAGGAGATTAAAATATGACTCAAATCAAGCAACATGATATCCATGGATTCCATAAAAAGCCAATGTTATTAAACTCAAAGCTTACTGCTAGCCAAAACCACCCCCATCAAAGAAATTTTTTGCATTTTCGACAATAGAATTTTGCTCCAGCATAAAACGGATTCTGATTTATTTCTGGTCATCAAATCGTTCTCCATTTTATCAATGTATGAAGAAACAAATCTAACCACTAAAACAATCTTACCCTTCATACTCAGAACCAATATCAGGCAACTTGTCTCTGCTGACTTGAGAAAGATAGCTTCTTAAAAAGAGCCCTCGAATTGGATGCTGAACGCCGCGACACATTTCGACAAGATCTTTAAGTACGTCCTTGGCTGGCGCTTCCTTAGATTTAATGTACACGGATCCTACCGTACATAGCAGATACCTGTTAAATAAGCAACATGAAATTCACATACACTGACCGAGCTGAAACAACAAGAATAAAACACTCACTGCACTAAAAGCTATTTACTTTCGAGAAACGACAACATTTCCCAGCAAGAATTTGATGCTTTCAACAATGTATGACTTACAATCTTGGTAAAATGTTGCCGGCATGCTGAACAAGTTCGTAGAGATCGATGATCGAAACGCCGTGTCTGCTCTCGTCCTTGAAGAACATCTCCAGCCTCCTCAGCTCATCGAAAGCTCGCATATCTATTAGAATCAAGAATCCAAATCAAAACTCGGATCAGGTCAAAGGTTAGGAATCGGGCGAAGAACGTGAGAGCTTACAGAGATCGTAGTATTTGTGAGGCGAAAGCCGAGAGGTTCTGAGCTCCGACAGCATCAGGGCCGAGAATTTGAGGGCGTCTCTGAGATTGTTGGCGTCCTGCGAAAATTGAAATGTGAAATCGGACAAGATGGCGGAGAATTAGGGTTTTGGGAGAGGAAAATGTGATTGGGTGAGAAATAGTACCAGAGCGCGATGCATGTAGAAGGCATGGTGTTGAATGCCGGCGATGCCTTCCGCCAGCCATTTCTCTTCGTCTCCGATTACGTCCGATCTCATTTTCTCCCTCCCTCCTCTTCTCGCCGAAACGCGGCAACCAATTCGTCGGAGGAACGCTGAATTTTTGTTCTTTTATTCCGTTTTGGTTATTTGGGAACGTTGAATGTTGGTTTTTTTGGTTGTTGCAGTTGAATGTTGGGTTGCTCATGCATAACTGGGATGGGATGGGACCCCACTTAATCTTGACCATGACAGTGTAGGCAAATTGGATTGGAATTTTTTATTTCGATAACATTGAACTTTAAAAAACTCTAATCAAATCTGAAATTCGACATCCGAATCATTATTAGGTTTGATTAGAAATCGAACGTGGCTTCAATGTTACGTAATAATCGTGTTATATTTGTCTTAGCCGTTAGATTTGATTTTCATTATCGTTAAATTTTATTGAATAATTTATTAAAAGTTTTACTTTTTCTCTAACATTTTAATTTATGTGTTATAGATGAATCTAGAAGTATAAAAGGCTTCTTTTAATCAAAGAAATACCCTCAATCTTGGGTTGTTTCCTTTTCTTATCAACTCCGTATTGTTGTTTCATTTTCTGCAATCTTGGGTTGTTCGCCTCTTTTACTATAACTAACCCTTCTTTATCGTTAATGCTTATTGAGTACCTTGGTTTTGTGGGAACTGGATCCTCTCCTGAGTTTAGGTTCAGGAGTCTCCTGACCAATACACAAGAGTCGTTGAATTTTGATCAAATGATTACAAATTTAACGACTACAAACAGATAGCCTTCTAAAAGTTATAATAATTATAACCGTTGGATCAAAATCCAACGACCTTTATGTGTTGGTCAGAGGCTCCTGAGCTTAGCTCAGGAGAGGATCAAATTCTGGTTTTGTGAGCTTTCTAAACGTTTTAGTAGTTTTTATTAAATTATTGACTTTTCATTGAGATTGAGAATTTTATTATCGAATCACATATCATATATTGAAGCATGGTAGACTTTTCGAGAATTTAGAATAATTGCATTTGGGTGGTGACGTGGAGAGGCAGCACTGTAGCCTGGTCAAAATCGAATGGCAGTAGCTCTGACTTACCCAAGACCAGTCACATTAGGTGTACCAATCCTTTATTTGGCTGCAATTCAGGTTTTCAGCCCAAATGGTACATAAGATTATTATAACCCTTTATTTTGATCCTTGTAATTTAAAATTAATAAAAATAGTACTTAAAATTGTACACTGTTAATTATTTGGTTCTTTAAAAAAAAATTTCCGTAAAATTGAAAAACCCACCTATCAAGTGAAGAGGTTGATTTGATAGAAATACCCTCAATTTTACAAAAAAAAATTCATGAAACGATCAAAATGATAGCAGCAAATATCTCACAGACAAGATAAGAAGTTATGCTTAATATAAGAGAGCATTTTTGTTAAAAAGCCTTAAAAAATAGTTTTATGATTAGGTGCGTAAGATTTTTGCACGAAGAAAACGACTTAGCCGTCAAATATTCAAAACAAAAAGTTCCGGGTCAACTTTACCAGTCTTTCATTCTATCCTCTTGTGTTTTGTTCTTTATTAACATAATTGCAACTCATGAATTTATTAGCTCACCCTGTATTTTCCTTTGGATTTTGGTAAATATTTGTTTAATTAATTCATAAAATTGTCAAATTTTTAACATGCTAAACGTTAACTTCTCAGTTAGGTATGATAAAGAATTCTGTATGTATAAAATATTTTCTAGGGAGCATCAGCATACATTTAAAGGAGACCGGGACTTTGAAGTTTGAAAGGTTGACTGATGATCAACGAGGGGCTAACTATTCACTTTATCATCTTCATTAATCTTCCGAAAACTCAAGTTTATCGATGCACGATTCATTAGATTCTAATTACCGAGACAGTTGTGATGAAGCGCTTTTGAGCTCCACTTGTCCATTCAAAACAGAGATGCCAGAACCAGCTCTTGGATGGCCTCTTCAGAGACTAACTGTTAGTCCTCTGAGGCTGAGCCAGGAAGCTCGCCGAAAATCGGATAGCTTCGACATGTTTTCCGAGAGAGAGGATGATGAATCACCGTTGTCGAGGCCGGGTTGGCCTCTCTTGCGGATAGCAGCTGCCTCAGCGGAAACTATGAGTACCACTCCTATGAGAGAATTCAAATCCAGAGAAAACATGTCCGTGGTACAGTGGGTGATGATGGACCTGCCTAGGCGTCGATTTCTTTCGGTAAATTCACAGCCGCAGGAAGGTGATGAAATTTGCTCGACAGTAGCACCAACACAGCTTTCTGATGAATTGGAGTTTCTCACCGCAGAAAACTCAGAAGGTTGCAAGGTTTTCAGCTACGCGGAACTTAGTAGCGCAACTTGTCACTTCTCGACAGGTAAATTAAGTGCTCGTTTGGGACTGTTTTTGTAAAAGAAACTTTTGCTCATAAGTGCTTTTATTAAAAACACGTTCCTGCTCGCTAGAATTTAAACAATTGATTTGTTAACAGAAAATCTTATCGGCGAGGGAGGGTGCAGCAGCGTGTACAAAGGGTGCCTTGGAGGCGGAGAATCAGTGGCGGTCAAGGTTCTAAAATCGTACAAGGAAGCTTGGAATGACTTTTTCTTGGAAGCCAAGTTTGTTTCTTCAATTCAGCACAAACACATCACTTGTCCAATTGGTGTATGCATGGAAGATGGCAACCTTATTTTGGTCTATGACCTCTTTCCCAGAGGGAGCTTGGAAGGAAACTTGCACGGTGAGAAATTAGAACGAATTAGTCATCAAACGAGACTAATAACTCGATTTTTAGTGTGTCTGAAATTCTGAATTCTATTTCGTTTCATCTTAGTGCAGGTTGCAGTGATGGACTTATACTTCCATGGAGCGTGAGATTCAATGTGGCGGTTGCAGTTGCAGAGGCTCTAACTTACCTGCACAATGAGTGCCCTCAGCCGATCATTCACCGAGACGTTAAATCCTCAAACATTCTTCTCTCCGACGACCTTCAGCCGCAGGTATATACATATATGATCTGCCTGCAGTACCTTCATATTTCACTTTCCTGCCAAATTTTACATTTTTGGGTTCAATCTCGAGTTTAATTTTTGTTTGCAGTTATCTGATTTCGGGCTTGCTACATGGGGACCGATGGATTCTGGTTGCGTGATAAGTAGTGATGTGGTGGGAACTTTTGGATACATTGCTCCGGAATATTTCATGCATGGGGTGGTGAGTGACAAGATTGATGTTTATGCCTTCGGCGTGGTTCTCCTCGAACTATTATCTGGTCGAAAGCCGGTCGATGCCGAGGCTCTGAAAGGACAAGAGAGTTTGGTCAAGTGGGTAAGCATTTTTATATATATCCCGAGCTTCTACATTTAGATTTTATGCATTTTCCGCATTGCTAAACAAAGTTCTTCGTTCAGGCAAGACATTCGTTAGATATTATGGATCTTAAGGCATTGCTGGATCCAAAGTTAAACGGAGACTACGATGCGGCCCAAATGCGTAGAATGGTAATGGCAGCAGGGCTTTGCATAAACCAGTCGCCTCGTCGTCGACCGGAAGCGAGACAAGTACTGAAGCTACTAACGGGAGAGACGGACGCAAAAGAGTGCGTCGATCTTCATGCGGTGAAATCGAGCGACGCGTGCTATCAAGATGAAGATGACAACCAATTCCTGGAAATCGGGCATCTTTCGGTTTCCGCTATGTCTGATACAAATGATGGGAGCATCAGCAGATCAAGTTCAACTGATACTGCATCTAGTGCAGAGAAACCACACCGGTACAAGTTGAAGGACTACTTGCTTATCCCTGACCGGTATTCTTTGCGTGAAATTTCTCCGATAAACATGTAATATGTACATACATATATATGCAGAGAACTCTGCTGAAATTTTGAGCTCAGCATCGAACAATTTAATTACAGAAAAAGAACAAAAAGGAGACCGGTGTTTTTCGTATGAATTGGTCTTAAAATTCAATTGATTAACAAATACATCAATGCTCATTACACTGTACAGTTAAAAGCCGCTAGTGCTTCCAGAAAAAAAAGGAAGAAAAACTAGAACGGAACCGTGTAGGACAATGCATATATGCCGGCCTCATGCAACAATTGTGCTTTCGGCCACTGCGTGCTGCTTGTACGACATGAGACCTCACTATCAGCTTTAGATCTTTTAGACCCGCGTCTGTTTTGTGACGCTGTCCCAAAGAGCCATTCTTCGTCATCGGCATCATGGAGGGCAAATTGGAACGGCGGTGGAATCCAATTCTCCATCACATTTGCACACTCTAAATCTTCTCTCCCAATTCTCTTTTCACCGGTCATTTCGATCCCCTCTGTTGTTGGACAAGACGACTCTTGGTCACATTTGGATGCGAGTTCCGCAACTCCAACAGTTGCCTCCGAACTATGAGGTTGATTGGGTGCAGGAACAACTTCTGACCTTTCCGGAGGGAGGAAATCTGTCATTCCAGAAGAAGAGGGCGCAAGTGAGGCATCTGGTTCACTGGGCTTTCGCAATTTAAAGCGAATGATCAAAGGCCTCTTCCTCTTATTGCCACCTTGGTTGCCATCAGACAAGTAGCAATTGTTTTCAGCACAGCTTGGCAGCTCATGCTCTTCGGTAATGTCACTTTTCTCCAGCTTACTACCTTCATCTTCAACATTTTTAATAAAACATCCATTTGCTTCCACTTTTCCCTTCTCTTGCTGGAAGCACTTCTTGTTAACAAGGTTTTTCGAGCTGGGGACAGTAACACAATTGGGTACAACATTCTCCTTCGCCTTACGGCCTTGTCCCATTGTCCCCCTCTTGTCTTTGTTCCTATGATTCTTGGCCTTCTTCTCCGTCTTTCTCTGGGGCTTTTAAGGCACCGGAATAAATTTAATAAGATTGGTAGGGAAGACCAGCGAAACATGACTAAAACACAGATGTACAGAAACCGCCGATGGTAATCAGAATTAAATCTCATTTTTTTACAAGGGTTGGTACGATACAGAGGATCAAGAAACAATCAACACTATAAATCATTACAATGTTATAGCTTACGACAATTGTACTGTGCCGTAGTGAGATACTTGAGGCAATTAGTGGTTTCAGGCAAAATTCGACATGGTTGGAGGAAGCAACTCAATTTCATTAGCCTACATCCAATTTCCATACACAATTCTCTAAAACTTGACTTGCCTAACTCTATGCTCAAAGTTTTAACATCAAATTTATCAAGTTTCGAACACCCAACAAATTTAACAACCAATCAATGTTTACAACTATAAACATTCCCATTAAATCAAAATCTCAGCAAACCACAAGCCCAAAGCAAACTTATATAAGGCTTGAACCTCCCAAAATAATTGGGAGGGTTAGGATTCCAAACACTCCCAAACAACACTCAACTCGAAAGCATGTAACAACTATGGGTTCAGATCCAAATCCGTTTTCACGATTGATCTCAATTTACAAAGCAAAAAACTTACTTAAAATTTAATAACAAAAGTTCATGATTTAATTAATTTACCCAAGAAAACGCAAGATCTATCTTTATTACCCAATAAGAAAACTCACAATTTTATCTTAATTACCCAAAAAGTTTCAAGATTAATCTCAATTTTCAAGATACCATTCAAAATTTGTCAAATTTTCCCAAGAACACTTATATTTTACCCAAATTAACCAATTTTTTCACCAAAAAAAAAAACCCCCCAAGATCCATCAAGATTCATCAATTAGTTTCTACAGAAAACCTATTAAACCACCCATCCAATCAAATCCGACAGATACAATACAAGAACACAATCGCAGACATCATATCACAAAGATTTACATGCTGGAGAGAGATTAGGGAGAGGCCCAGAAAAATCAGAACCAAATTGCTCAAAAACCAACCTTAACCGGTTCAAACAAGTCCTCCCTACCAACTGCCTTCCTCGAATAGTCCAAGCCCACGTAGTTCAACCCCCAACTCATCATCTTTCTTTCAATTACACAAGAAATCGATACTAAAAAACCCTAGCGCTCAGAGAGGTTTTTTGACGGCTATGGTTTTACTTGCAGATGCAATAAACGGCTAATAGCGTTGGTTTATATAGACTTCCGAATAACCGACTCTGAGTCTGCACAGGTTTAATACCGATAATGCCCTCAAACTTGACCTAGTTTTATTTTGGTTCCGTCTCTTTTGGGTTTTACTTGTTTTATTTGGGCTTTTTTAATAAGAAAAATTAATGTAAATAATTTGAAAATTTTGAATTTTAATTAATAAGATAAAATAAATGGTAAAGTAAATAGTACTAAAAATTAATTTTTTAATATGATTTTTCCTTAAAATGAACAATATCAAAGTTGATTTTTTCTTAAAATAAACAATGCTGATAGTTTTTCAATAAAGTTCCATTTTTAATAAGACTGCTCCTCCTTTGGGTTTACAGGTTTAATACCGATAATGCCCTAAAACAAAAAACGATTTTTTCGGAGTTGCATGTACTTGCCGACACCAAAACCCTGATTAAACCCAAACAGAGCTTTTCCATTTCAACGAAACCCAAAAGTTCGAGACTTGCGACTTCGCGAGGAACGAGAGAGCGACTGCAGTGATCCGAGATTCGTACGCCATGAGAAGGGTTAACGGAATCGCTTTACTCACCAGAGCAGCCATCTCTATGGGCGGCGCCACCACAGCCACCTCCGCAACTCAACACCGCCTGGTCCAAGCAGCGATGTTGAGCACGTGCTCGAATTCGAATCCGTTGTGGTTCACACAGGGGCTCGGCGATCGCTTCGGCCTATCGAAACCCTCCTCTGTGCCTCGCTGATCGGGAGGGCACATGTGCTTCTCTGCAAACGCCGCCGCGTCTGTGGCTCAGGAGGTGCACCCTCACGTGAAGTCCCTCCCCAAAGACGTCGTGCTCTACCAGTAAGAAGCTTGCCCTTTCTGCAATAAGGTTAGAGGTAAACTATCTCGAATTCATATCTGAAGATGAAATTATCCAACTTTCCTTCCTAATTTGGTTACTCCCAGTCTTTATACAAGATTTCGATCTTAGGAGTCTACTTTCGCTTTCGATTTTATGCTCTTTGATTGCTTTAGCCGATGAATTTCTTCTGTATCACAGCCTTCTTGGATTACTATAACATTCCGTACAAAGTTATGGAGGTTAACCCCATCAACAAGAAAGAGATTGAATGGTCTGATTACAAGATGGTGCCGACCTTGAAAGTCGACGGCGAACAGATGGTTGATTCTTCAGGTCTTTGGACATTTTGTCACTTCCCTATAATGTGTCTAATTTCAAGTTGATTTTGTATTTTTTGTTAATTTGTTATGTTTTGTATTCACAGATATAATTGATAAGCTACACCGAAGGATCAATCCTGAAAACACCTTGAATAGCGAAGAAGAAAAGAAATGGCGTGGGTAAGTTTTTGCTTCCACTATTTTGTAAACCTTTTTTTTGCATAGAACGAATGTTCGATACTACAAGAGATATCTCTTGCAGTGACTAGATTACCATTTTAATACTTGTATTTATTAGGTGTTGTGATCACGGGACTTTTGGCACGATAATAACTGGTTAACTGTGATGTAGGTGGGTGGATAAACGTTTAGTACATGTTTTATCACTAAACTTATATCGAACTGTTTCAGAGGCTCTCGAGTCATTTGACTACATCACCAGTCATGGTATGGTATCGTACTACATCGTTACTGAATTATTTCTCTTTATTAACGTCCCATATCGTCAATTATAGAGAATGCTCCCAATGTATATATATGTATGTGTATGTGGAAGCTCAATTTCTTCTCGTATGTGAGTAACTAGAGTTGTCTTACACCTAGATACTCCTAAACTATCACTAGGACATAGTTAAGTTCCAACCATAAAAATCTGTTTCAGTTTGCATTGCCTTCATTCTCAAAACAATTTTGCACCTGTGCTCCCTTGCGGTTGCAGAGGCTTTGGATGTTCTTAATTAAACCCCGCTCACCATTCTAATTTTAGGAAATACAGGCTCCTTCCCCTAGAAGTCCTGGATTTATGCTAGCATTAATTCTTTTAAAATCTCGGACATGCAGGAAATTTCAGTTCATATGAAAGGATGGTAGCAAAGTACGCTGGAGCTGCTGCTACGTATTTTGTGTCAAAGAAACTAAAGAAGAGACACAACATTACTGATGAACGTGCAGCCTTGTATGGAGCTGCAGAAACTTGGGTGGATGCTCTTAAAGGCAGACAATTTCTTGGTAATGTTTCATCTTAAATATTGTATACTATTAAGCAAGACTTATTTTATGATCGAAACTGTGAATTTACCGGATGATCTTGTCTTTTGAACAAGTGGATCAAATCCTAATTTGGCCGATCTTGCTGTATTTGGTGTTTTGAGGCCTATTCGGCACCTTAAATCTGGCAAAGATATGGTGGAGAACACGCGGATCGGTGAATGGTATACTCGAATGGAAAGTGCTGTGGGAGAGCCTGCCAGAGTCGGAGCCTAAAGGTGGAACTGATTTGTTGCTTCAGATATCACAAACAAATGACATCCTTTGAACTTTGCCTAGTATGTTACTGGTAATATGCATCATGAGATATTCAGACTTCCGCATCAAAAAAAAATTTTTAAATTTTTAAATTTTTAATTTTTTAAGGATATGAGTTGTTATGGTTGATCTTGTTATTAATATGTACAAATAAAAAGAAAATCTGTCAAATTATTTCTTCGGCGTTGTCGACCCTTATAATTGTTGTCAAGATCATTTTCGTCGGATTATATTTCACATGATGGAACGTTGCTACATCTTCATTTACTTTCCACCAAGAGCTCTATTGAAAAGCATCTCGACTCAACAATCATGTAATTAAAGTGTCAATAATATCAATATAAAAATGATGTTGATGATCAATAATGTGTTAATATGTTGGTTGATATTGAGTAGTTGAATGCAATATACTTGTCGATCTTGAATAATCTTATAAAACACATGATCAAGCGGCCTGGGCAGAGATTATTCTATCGTGAGAGACTTGGTTTGGCACTTGATGTAGGTTTATTATGCAAAACCGTGAGCAGCTTAAGCATAGTTCTCGCACGAAGATTGTAGTAGCTGCGTGGCCAGCCCTGCTCACGGCCATTCAACACGTGTCTCCTTTTAGTGCATGCAGGACTATGTCCACGCATTAACATTAATCCTCGCTTACGTATACGTAATGGGAATCAAAACATGGAATTGTACTCCGATTACGGACCACTCTTCCTGTGTTTACTAAATTTTAAGGAATCAAAACTATGGTGGGACCCACACAAAGTTTGGAATTCAATTCCTCACTTTGGAGGAATTGGATCCCTTTATAGTGGGTGATATTTGAGTTCTGGAAGAATGAGGGAATGGGGAATCTATTTTTCATACCCATAATGCCCTCACATAATTGCTGAAATTCCAATGATAAAACCAGCTCCCGTGCCCAACGCTAGGCTGTCTGCTTCTCCCTCACTACCGCCCCCTTCCTGTCTTCCAAGGGCCACATACCCACCATCATCTTCCTAGACAATAACGACAACCAGAAAACAAAATCAAGCGAAAACTGAAGAAGAACCCATTTTAGTTATTTCTTTTTAACACAATGCTAAAAACCAAACTCCTCACATTCAAATCAACATGATATACCCTGTAAACTAAACTTCAAAGAAATTACATCACCACAACGCCCTCAAACCCACCGTGAATTTCAAATTGTTGAAAGATGATTGAGGCAGAGATAGAGAGAACGGGTGGGGTTTGGTTGGTTAGTCTTTTATTTTTAATTTTATATCAATTGACTTGATTTCCTATAAGTTCTTATAAAATATTTATTTATAATAAAGGGCATTCTAGTAATCATACAAGTTTTCAATCCGATTCAAGTGAATTAGTAAACAACTTATATTCAAACAAGACCATTTATACCCTGATTTCAGAAAACTATAGTAAACAGCTTTAATGGAAATATGGATTTCAATTCTCCTCAATTCAATTCCTCCTTAATTCGATTCCCCCTCAATCAAATTCCATTTATTTTGATTACGGATTAGTAAACGGGTCCTAATTTCTTCGTTTTTTATAAATCATATGATGATGTTATCTACACTTTTTTTTGCTTTACACACTATTAATTTTTGTTATTTGTTTTATTTCAATTCATTCAATCTGACAATTCAAAATTGAAAAAATATGTAAAAAGTAAAATAAATACGAATAACGGCACTCAAAAATAAATTATGACATGTTCGTAAGTTATTAATTATATTTTACAAATTATAACAATAAACAAATATTAATGCAACATGTAAAAGAAGTGTGAATTGAATTGGCAGAAATTTATAAAAATAGGAATAGGAAAAAGATAGAAATGCTATTCTTCAGCCTTTCCCAATGACCAAACTGACAATTTCTCCAATCTCTCTGATTCTCTCAATCCCCTCCCCCTCTTCATAACTTCTGACCCTTTCCCGTCTCTCAATCGAGAGTGAATCTCTCTCTCTCTCTCCCCCCTCCCTCTCTTTCTCTCTCACTTTCTTTATGAAATCTCTGACCCGATCATTCTGCGACCCTTCTGTCACCAAATCTGCATGTGTACGTCGTAGTTTCCCGCCACCCCCACTTCCCTATGCCATTAAATGCTCCCATTGGTTTTCAAGCCGTTTGGGATTTTGGGCAACAGAGAAAAAGACTCCCAAAGCTCTTAACTTTCTTTATTATTAACCTTTTTTTAGTTCCTTAATGAGCATTAATTAATCACATTAAGAAAGATTTGTCCGTTTCCTCCCTATATATATAAACCACTCATTCAGTTAGACCAGAAACTCAAAGCAACAAGGAAGGCAAAGGTTCTGCCAATAGAGAGAGAGAGAGAGAGAGAGAGAGAAAGAAGGGGTCATGCATCTTTTCTGATATAACAAGAACATTAAACCCTCCAGCTTTTCCAAACCTGCCCCATTTTGTTTCGTATTAAAAAGTCCCATGAAATATGTGAAGGCAAAAGATTAAGGTTGTCCGAGAGGAAAAAATATGGCAGTTCAGGCACAAAGTTTGTACTTTTCTGAAGATTGGTCGTCGGCGGCAGCGGCGGCGCAGCTCCACCCTGTTTCGGGCCTTGACGACATTTTTTCCGGCATTCCGAGCCCTCAGCCCCCGGCTGTTCCTCCTCCTCATCATCACTTTCACCTCCGTCTTCCAGCGGCTCAGAATCAGAGTGAGAATTTAAATACGACGGGCTTTGATTTCTGCAACCAGTTAGGATCTTCGGTTTCGCCTTCCACTTTCAATAGCTTTCTCCCAACGCAGTTCTCGGAAAACTTAGGGGCGCAGATGGACTTGCAAAGGCACGAGCTTGACTGCATTATTCAATTGCAGGTGATTATTATTGGTGTTAATTTTCTTTAAATTTCCTTCATAGGTTTCCTTTATTTTTCACGGTGATTGTTGGGTTAATTTTATTATTGCATCACTCTCGGAATTTAAAATAAAACAAGAACAAGGATTCAAATTTTTGTTCGTTTCTCTAACAATTACTTAATATCATTAGACTTAAAGAAAAAAAGCGTTCTCTTTGTAATTTTTTTTTTTTAAGTGGAAACGTTTGTAAATAACGGATACTTTTTTTTCTTATTTATTTATTTTCTTGGAAAACAGAGTGAAAAGCTGAAGTTTGCATTGCAAGAGCAGAGGAAGCAACAGCTAGCAGCTCTATTGAGCAACCTAGAATCCAGAACGTTAAATTTAATTAGGCAGAAAGAAGACCAGTTAAGACAGGCAACCAAGAAAACGATGGAGCTCCAGGACTGCCTGAGAAAAGCGGAGATGGAAAGCGACACGTGGCAGCGGGTGGCGAAAGCGAACGAAACAATGGTGATGGGCCTAAACAACGCGCTCGTGGAGGCCAGAGAGCGACTGGTTCTGGTCAGCAGCGAAGCCGACGACGCAGAGTCCTGCTGTGAAAACAGAGTAGCAATTATGGAGGAAGATCAATTGGCCGAAGAGAAAAGGAGAAAGTTGGTTTGCAAAAGCTGCCACGCGCGGAGCTCGTGCGTGCTTTTTCTGCCGTGCAGGCATCTCTGTTCGTGCAAGTTCTGTGAAGGGTTTCTTGGATTCTGCCCCGTTTGTGATTCCACCAAGGAGGCAAGCATGGAGGTCTTTTTTGTCTAGCACGAAAAAGTGCCAAGCAAAACGTGCTTCCAAAATAGCATCACTATTTAGTTGTACTCTTGTGAATCATGATGCCTTTTGCTATTCTCCATTTGGGGTAGTCCTTTCAATATAGATAAGTCTATAGCAATTCTGGAAAAATGATCTGGAGATCTTGATCATCTTGTAATCGTGTTCGTTTATCGTAAATTATTTTAATTTTAAAATTTAAAATTAAATATAAATATTACCTAACAAAAATTGACTGCATGATGTACGATGAACGAACATGATTACAAAATCTTCGGAAATCTGCTTTTTAAGAGGAATTTTAGAATCATCCGTTGAATTTTATAATATTTTTCAACCTATATCCGATCGTTAATTTACGCCATTAATGTTTATATATTTATGTTGCTAGTGTACAGCGTATTTGGGATTTCAAGTATTGAATTTCATGATCACCTTTAGAGCAAGTCCACTGGAGGACTTTTTGCCCAGCATCCAGCCGAAAAAATAGGCCAGAACCCAGTGAATTTGCTCCAGCTGACCCAATTGACTGGCACCCAGCCCATGCCAGTCTCTAGCCCAGCCCATTTTTGACTGACCAAGGGACTGGCCTGTTTGTTTTTTTGCACTGGCGCGTGGCCTTCACGCTCGCGTGGGCGCAAGTAGGAGACAACCGGGGCTCGGCGACGTGGCCCACTTGCAGTCGTTGGATTTCCAACAGCTAGTTATTCTAGACCGTTGGATTTTCAACGGTAAAAAAAAAATGAATTTCACTTTTAAACTGGACCGTCCGATCACAGATCAACGACCCACGTTTTCCCCCCAATGAATTAAGAATTCACTTTTAAAAAATACATAAACTTTTTAATAAATTTTAGATATTATTATTATTATTATTATTTTATTTTTTATAAATTCAGAAATTAAAAATAAAATTATTATTTTATAATTAAAAAAATAATATTTTAATAAAATGGACTAGGCTATTTTTTGTTAGGGGTGGAGATGCTTTGGCCTATTACTGTTCAATGGAGTCTATTATTGTTCACTTGAGTGGATAAATGCGCTAGGTGCTGGCACAAAGTCCTTAGGGGTGGATTTGCTCTTAGGATACATCCCTAAATAAAGTAATGTATATTATACGTTTTATGTATTAGAATTTTCAATCTTTGTCTTATTATCTTTATAAAAAAAGTAATATAAAATGTTGATGTGGTTTAACCGTGACCATACAAAACAGGAGGGTACGGAAGAACATCGAAAATGAGAGGGCAGACAATTCTTGTCCTATATTCAATATGCCATCGTTATATTTTATAGACCAACTAAGCATGGTTTAGGGATGTCTCCCCCAAAAGAGAGAATCTTGGCTTTATAATTATTTACCTGATTTGGGTTGGAATCTCAGAGGATATGATGCAAGGAGGAGCGTGCATGCTTTTGTTATGAGTTTTATTAAAATATTTTCGATACCGTTCATTTTTAACAAAAAATTATATTTATAAAATTTCTCGATACTATTCATTATACCTTTAAAAAGAACATTTCATTTAAAAAGATTTTTTTTAAACTTTTCATTAATTTTCATTTTTTTTAAAATTATGTCACAAGAAAGCCAGCTCCCTAAATAAAGTAATTTATATTATACGTTTTATGTGTTAGAATTTTCAATCTTTGTCTTATTATCTCTATAAAAAAAAGTAATATAAAATGTTGATGTGGCTTAATCGTGACCACACAAAACAGAAGGGCACGGAAGGGCATCGAAAGTGAGAGGGCAGACAATCCTTGTCCTATATTATATTTTATAGACCAACTAAGCATGGTTTAGGGATGTCTCTCCCAAAAGAGAGATTCTTGGCTTTATAATTATTTACCTGATTTGGGTTGGAATCTCAGAGGATATGATGCAGGGAGGAGCGTGCATGCTTTTTTTATAAGAGTTTTAATAAAATATTTTCGATACTGTTTATTTTTAACGAAAAATCATATTTATAAAATTTCTTGATACTATTCATTATTCCTTTAAAAAGAACATTCCATTTAAAAAGAATTTTTTTTAAATTTTTCATTAATTTTCATTTTTTTTTTTAATTATGTCACAAGAAAGCCAGCTCTCTGTCTCTGTCTCTGTTTATATAGCGTAAACAGAGAGCGTACGGCTGTAAACCTACAACTGACAAAAGGAAAATATGAAAATTTTGGTGTTTGTATTTAAAAGATTACAAGGACTGCAACTGTCACCACCGCCACTTTTTGGTATCATAATTTTTTTTTTCTCTGCTTTCAATGAAGCTTGACCATTCGGTCGTTGAAAGAAGCAAACTTTGCAAATGCAGCAGCCCAGCTTCAGATACTGCAAACAAAACGAGGCCTTACTGTTTTCTCACTATGACTTTTTGTATAAAAAGAACTTGCATGCAATGATCAACTGTCGTGTGAGAAAATTAATGGACTTTTTTCGAGAAGGGAGATCTGCTTCTTCTGCTTCTGCTTCTTGTCGTGCATGGCAAATCTCAACGCTGATTTTTTTGTACGTTTTTCTTTCCCTCAATAAAATAATTAATCTCAAAGAGTATAAGAGTCGGGATCTAGATTGTCTGCCCTCCATCGTCCCATTTCTTTTTAATTTTTATTTATTTATGTAATTATGGTTAAATCACGTTAATATTTTATATTAATTTTTTTATAAAAATAATAAGATAAAAAATAATAAAAATATAAAATATTAACGTGAATAGAAGGGAATAAGAAAGGTATGGGATGAAGAGAGCACACAATCCAGGTCCATATCGACAGAAGAAGACGGTCAGACAGCGACTGATCTGGCCAAGAATCTTCCTTCCTCATTTCATCTGGCTGAGAACCGTGTTCCATTTCTCCCTGCAACATGATTCCATGAAATCCCATTCCTACTAGGCTTTTCGTGTTCCAATGTCGTGCGTCATGGAGCCTTTAGTTTTAGGGAACATTGAACAAGAAGGTCTGCATATTTACTTTATTGGTTCAGCTTAAGACCCTGCTGTCTACTTTCGGACAAAGTAACGTTTCGTCGTATAATGTTATTAATTTAATCGTTAATGAACGAAATATATGATATTAAATTATTTTTCAAAACTAATTAATATGGTGAGAATGAGACAATTCATTATAAATCTATGCAATATTTTTTAACTTAACTAAGTAACATGAAACACGCCATTTAGTACTACGGTGTGATGGTATTTCTCTACGCTTAGATGTGAGGGGTCTTAGATTCGAATCTTATGAATGACGAATTCGATGCCGAATTAGATTGCCCATTGTGTAGATTAGTCGAACTCCTCTGTCCTTTAGTGTAAGAATATCGATATACTAAAAAAAAAAAAAAACATGAAACACATGCACCTTTTTTATTTGACACACAAGCGAATTTGCTCCGATGATGTGAAGGAAACAAACATTCCACTCAAAACCAATTGGTTATGCAAAGCGACCCTACCCCTTTCCACATTAGGGAACACGCATACAAGGTCTAAGTTCACTAAGAACGAAAATAGTTAGCCCATTGTGAGGCTAAGCCCACTTTTCTTTCTTAATGTATATAATATAGTTTGGTAAAAAAAAAAAAATCCAATCTCAAGTGGGCTCACTTTAAATCTGCTCGTAAATGAAAATTTGAGATCGGCCCATTTGAACTCAAAAACTTGAAATACGAAAAAAGTGAGATCAGCCCATTTGTATTTTCTGATTGTTTCCGGATTACATCGAAACGTCCCCTTAAACTTATTCATAACTACGCGGAAGACCGTTTGTTAGTTTACACCTCGTCGCCAAACGCAGAGGAACACCCAGCGCAACCGCATTTTTTTATTCCGCCTCCGCTTCCGCTTTCTCTTCCTCCTCTTCCTCCTCTCTCTGAAACGACCTCGTCGTGATCTGCTATCAGCGATGCAAAACGGGGATTACTTGTCGGCTCCGTATTACCAGTACCCCCCTCCACATCAAAACCCTAATCCTATCCCCAACCCCGCCGATCACCACCACAACCCCTACGCCTCCGCACCGCCTTTCACCTCCTCCGATTACTCCCCTTATTCCCAATCTTACCCCCCATATTCTCTGAATCCCGATCCTGCCCCTCCCACCGCTCCTTCCTTCAACCCTCCCCCTCCATTCTCCAATCCCAATTTGCAAACCTTCAATCCCACGCCACAGCCGCCTTCTTCTTTCCCTCCGTTCGAGACCCATTCGCCCTATCAACCGCCGCCACAGCAGCAACCTTATCAACCACCGTACGAATATAACCAATCGGCTCCCAGTTACGCCACTTTGCCGCCCTCGATTCCCGCCAACCCTAACCCTAATTCCAATCCCTCCTCTCCGTTTTCGTCCGTTTACCAGAGCCCGTTTTCTCAACCTCCCCCTTCGGTGCCGCCTGTATATGAAAATTCTTACGAGAATTCTCTGAAATTTGATCACGGCGGTGGTTCCGGCGGCTCCTATTTAGATGATAGGTATGGAGGATATAACCGAACCCGAACCGATTTGGGATCGGATCCATATGGGAAGCGGTATGATGCAGGTCTGGATGCGGGGTACGGTGACGGTGTTTATGCTTACGGAGGTAACAAGGTGGAGCCGTATGGAGCTCGTGGCACTGCACCCAAGTCTTCAAGCTCGACTTTGTTTGATGATTACGGAAGGTCGATCAGTGTCCCATCTGGGAAAAATACGCCGGTGAGCTCGACCAAGATCGTCCGGGCAGTACCCAAGGCCGATACTCAGGAGGATGCAAAGAGTGGTGTGCAGAAGTTTCGGGTCAAGCTGTTGGCTGAAAGTGGAGGGCAGAGCACCATGGATGTCCTTTGCCAGGTATGAACAGGGAGATACTGCGTTCTATTTAAGTCCAAGCTTAAACTTTAATAGAAGCATTAATTACTTAGTTATCCTTGCGTTTACTGTGATGGGATTTTCACACTGTTAATTTTCACTTGTGATTGTGTTGGAGCGGGAACGGATTAGTTTCGTTAAGTCGTTCAATATGCTATGGATTTCAATAAGTTTACATTATAGCATAGGTTACAACTGTAATTGGAGCCTTAGAAATCATGTTTTCACATAACTGTTGTTCTATAGAAAATGGTAAGCGGGGATTAGATGCTAATTAGATAGAATTAGAGCACTATGGCCTCTTGGTCTATTTTGGAATGGATTACCCACTATTGTTAAATTGTTTGAGATTAACTCTGCTCGATGTTGTTTCTATATGCTGATCCTTGGACTGTTCTATTTTTGAAATGCATATTATCGTGAAGCTCTTTCTGGTTCTGGATGATCATCTTTATGTTGGTTTAGGATGATCATCTTTATGTTGGTTCAAAGTATGGGTAGTGTTTTGAAGGCCACCCCGTTGCTCTTGTTTAGTTCCATCCCCTTCCTTTCTTTCAAATCTTTCCTATTGATTTGTTAAGTAAGATTTGCCGATTCTAAATTCTTATTCAGATTGGTTTGGATGGTATCCGCATGCTTGATCCTGCTACCAGTCGGACATTGAGAATATATCCCCTCGAGACCGTTACAAGATGTGATGTAAGTTTAAATTTATTTTAGCATCAAGTTCGTTAGGGAACTGTTAGTTTATGGATTGAGGTATAAGTGATTTGTATGTTTATTTTCCTTCTCATGCAGAAAACCGACTCATCCACCTTTGCCTTTTGGTCAAAGAGTTCTGTGGATGTTGAGCCAAGGCGTATTAGATTGCAGTCAAATAGTTACACTACCAACACCCTTTTGGATACGGTGACTGCTGCAACTGTACAGGTTGGAAACTAGGGAATTTTGCCTTTCCCCTTGCCCTGAAAGAATAATGGTTCCCCTTCTTTATTGACAACGTGTGATTAGGGCCTAGGTGATGCTTTCCTTGTTTCTGCACCTGTTATTTGACAAGTTATGTAGGAAGTATAAACATTGATACTTGATTTAGATGCTTGTGATGCATTGGATCTATGTAAAAGTTACAGAAGGTGGGTGGGATTTTTCGTTTCGTGTTTCAGTTATATATGTGTTTGTCTTGAGTAGGGTGGTAAACTACATAGATTGACTTATGTGTCCGAACTTTTAGATTCATATTGATCAAATAGGCATGAGCAGTCTACGTACATGAGGGGTATCGTTTCATTTTGAAGTAAAGCCAGCTGATTTGTCTGTGCATAAGTGCATTTATATCAAATGTGTTCCTTCGATGGCTAGTCTCTAATGATATCTACTGGACATATTTGCAATTCCATGTACTGGTTGGTTTCAAGCATTCCTAATTGGGAAAATGAAATCTCTATCATTTAGTTTGGAACTTAATGAATTTTGTTATCAACATCTTTTTGGCCTTCTTATACTGAAAATGGAAATATGAGCTTACTGTGTGTCTATGTTGATACTATGATTGGAGGTTCTGTCTTTATAAAATTATATGCTTTTTTGAAGATCTGAATGATGCATAATATGGTTCATATTATGTCCTCAAGACTATGGTTAACCTTATCTTAGAGATTTTGAATGTTGATTACATTTAGTGATGTATTGTTCTGACCTCTGGTAACTCAGCTTAAGGAAATGGGTGGAAGAATCAAGCCAACGGAATCCACAAGGCCAAGTGAACAGTCTATAGAGAGAAAGAAAGGATTAACCGATTGGATGAACATTATTAAACCGGGAAATGAGGAGAAAGATCATTGGGTAATATTAACCTGCCTCCCTTCCCCTTTTGTTTTCTTTGTAGAATGATACAAATGTGGTAGTGCCACCTTTCAACACAGCATCTCTTTTAGCAAGTAATAATATAATCTTGCTCTACACTTACTTATTTCATTACTGCTGTTTCTTAGGTCCCTGATGAAGCAGTTACAAAATGCACGGCGTGTGGGACAGATTTTGGGGCTTTTAACCGCAGGGTATGTCTAAATTTAATGTGGCATTCTTCATTGTTTGTTCATGTTCTCTTCATTTGTACTTATGGATTTCTCCCCCCATTTTAGCATCACTGCCGGAACTGTGGAGACATTTTCTGCGACAAGTGTACCCATGGCAGAATTGCCTTAACTGCTGAGGAGAATGCTCCGCAGGTTCGAGTTTGTGACCGTTGCATGGTACGTCTCTAAGCTTCTTTAGGGTTTATCACTGTCAGTTGATCATATTATTCCAACTACATCAGTAGTAAATCAGTAGAGGGGTGTGGAGAGGACTGAAGATTCCGTTTTATATTTTCGGTATATGTAATTTCCTTGTACTTTTGTTGTGGACTATACAATACAAAATGGTTTGGTTTCTGTTTTACTGTTATCATGTTCATGTGCCATATAATTCTGGTGGAATAAAGATTTCATATGGTGTCATTATCCTTTGTAGGCTGAAGTGACTCAGAGGCTCAGTAATGCTAAGGAAGCATCTAGTAAACCTGCAGGACTTCATAGTCACGAGGATCTTGCCAAGAAGCTTCAGGTGATTTCGGTGTTGTTCGTCTTTTGCTTCTACCAGACCAATCTGCTCTTAATTGACATTATGTTTTCCACGAAAGTGGAATTTATTTTGACAATAGAAGCTGAATTTATTTTAAGTCTCAGTACATGCATTTTTTTATACATGTCTGTTGTGCATGTTTGCCCTTCCCTTTTTTTGTCATAAATTCATTTTATTTATTTTGAATAGGAGGAGTTGGAAAGGAATCGCAAGGAATCTTCAGGTAATTTCTTTGCTTGTTAAGATTAGACGTTGGAAATATGAGTAGACCCTCCATTGAAAGGAAATTTTTATGTCTTAAATTTTTTGGACAACCTGTGCATGTTCAATGTCTGAGTTAAATCAGTTGGGTTAGTCTTGTAACATTTAAATATTAACTTAGGAGCCAATAAAATAAAATAAAAACAAAATATTAGCTTAGGAGCTAGAAGCTATATGAACGTTTACCGTTTGCATGTTCATTCCTCAGGTTCAAAGTCTGATGGATCTGGAAGGAGAATGAGAGAAGTTGCCTGTCCTACATGCACGGTCCACTTGCAGGTAATATATTATATAGAAGTTCAACTGATTTTGAAGTGAAGTAGTAGTGTGCATGTTTATATTTTTTTGTGTATGTGGTGATGGAATTACTGGAATTGTTGCAGGTTCAAGTTCCCAGCTCGGGGTCGGAGACCATTGAGTGTGGGGTTTGCCAGAATCCATTTCTTGTGAGTGCTCATTGATTCGAAAACAGATTCTCATGACGGCACTCAATTGTTATTTATGTAGTTTCCCGGTTCAATTTGTTTTATTGGATTGCTTATGTTTCCTAATAATTTGGAAGAGCTTTTGCGGGTGTCGGTGTTTTTCTGGATTGTTGTTTGACCAGATTGGCTGCTGCTTTCTGCTGTTTAGATTGTAAATTAAGATTTTTACTTGTAAGCCTCATCAAACAGAGTCTTGCCTTTTTTAGCGAAATTGATGTTCATATAATTTACTTCTGTACATCAAACACATGATGCCCCACTTGTGTATGTGTAATGGTTCATCAGTGTTGACCTTTGTTTGCGAGTCTGGTGTGACCTTGTTTCATGAGAGAATGTGTCGCGTTTGCGGTCATTTGGTTCGTGATTTCGATGTATTAACAAATGTATGAATTGAATGCCAATTTCCATTTGAACAACTTTTGTTAACAAAATGATTTTCTCGTGTTGCCGTAATCCGGCAGCCGTTGGATGTTTATGTCATGTATTTGAGATTTTGATGTGGTCGTTACTTTGTCGTGCTGTTTATTTCTTAGTTACATAATTAGTAGAGACTATTACTCACAGAAGATACGCAGAGATGGATGAAGAAATGTCGAGGAGTCCACTTTAAACGAAAAGTTGGTCGCGTTGTGTAATCCGAAATGTGACAGACGAAAATTAAGAATGCCTTGAAAATAAAAATATAGAAACGTTAAAAGACTTTTTAAAAATGAGATTTTTTATGGATTTTTTACACGGTAGATGTTAAACTATGAAGTAATAAGGATCCTATGAAGAGTTTTGATAAAATTTCCTTAGCATTTCTCCAAAAAAATAAAACTCGAAAAATATTGAGAAATTCTCCTTGGTATTTCCCATAAAAAAAAAAAAAAAAACTTGAAGAATAATGTATTTAGTTCTAAGTGTGCTATCGCTTGCTACATGGTGGGCCTAAAATATACTTTTTGAACAAAAAGGGGTATTGTTATTCTTTCTTTTGTTTTTTTTAACCTTTCACCTATTTTTGTTAATTTTTATTCATTGATTTTCTTCAATTCATTTACTTCGAATGCTAAAAATTAATAACGGTGTATGAGAAATAAAAATATGTATGTTGATATTTGATAGTACTATCCAAGGGCTTCGCTACCTAGCTTATCAACCAACACGTAAACAATCTTGTCCACCGGTAAGGATTTGGCATTAATACTTTGATGGTGACCATACAAAAGCATCCATTACTTTCAAGTTAGATCAGACCATAATTTTGCTGACGGTGATTTTCTATTACGCTTAAGGCATCAGAAATTCTAGTCGTTTCTCCTCTCCAACAATTCCTTTTAGCTTTTCTATGTACTCCTTGAACTGTTTCAATTGGTCAGATAGCGATGCAACTGCCTACACAATCGAATTCCAGAATTAATGGAGGAGGAAAAAAAATAAAATTAACAAAAGAACAAAGGATTAGAGCTTAAATATATAGGTCGTACCGCAAGTTTTGCTGTCAATGGATCATAACCTGCACCACCGGCAGCTATGACAACACCGGTAAGGAGGTCATTAGGCTGCAGGGTTGGATCCAAATATGCCGGCAACAGCTCCTTGATTCCGAATGCTTCCACTGTACATGAAAAAAAAAATCGTAACATAGAGTAGGGTTATTGAACATTTTATCGTATGTGTGAATAATTATTCAAAATTTCTGGGACAAAATTAAAGATGAAAATTAAATTCTTAGATTTTTAAGAAAAAAACTAGGGTTAATTGACCGGTTTTACGAAGTTGTACAAAAAGCAAAGGCTAACATTCAAAGTTTATTCCTAACCATGGAAGAAAAAATCGATAATATCGGCGATATTTCGCCGATATTATCGTTTTTTTGGAAGTTCGATATTTTTTTAACTATCCGAACGATTTTCGTTAAAATATCGCGATATTATCGATAATATCGCGATATTTTCGAAATTATCGATAATATCGCGACTTAATACTAAAAAATACTTAAATATGTTGAGAAAACTCAACACATACTTCACTTGATCATAGCCAAGGAAGAAAATATCGGTAATATCGGAAATATCGGTAGTCCGAAAACATGGAAATATTGATGGAAATATCGGGATAATATCGATATCGATAAAAATTACATGGAAACCACGAAAATTGTAAGAAAAACTTGGAAATTTTTAATGAAACTTTGCAGGATGTTTATTTAGTCAATTATCTATTAGTTTATCACAAAAAATTGAAAGGAAATGCATTGCATGATGGATTTAACTGATTTAAGTTGATTATATAGCGAGCTGGCAAACATTGTGAATGTAGAAAATATGTAGTAATTAATGAAAGAAGTTTAAACACACCATAATCATTTATATATAACTAATTAGTACAATATTGGGAGGTTTTATTTAGGATATTAAAAAAAAAAGGAATTGAATAAAATGATGAAGAATAATGTGCCGAATTTGACACTTTAAATTTCTTACACATAAGCATGCGTCTAGGCGTTGAAGTTCCAAATTATAGTATATCAATTAACGATTGAAAATCAATAGGTTGAATAAGACTAAACTTTAATTTGGATGCCAATTATGTTTTTTCAAGTTTATATAAAGTAAAAGAATTGAATTTTGGAAGCCAAGAGTGTGTCAATTGTTTTATAATTCGTCCGGTCAAACCACGGCGAGTTGGCCGGCGTACAAGGTATCAATCTCTTCGTCTCGTCGAGTAGTACAACTTTCCTTTTTGTTTCACTCAATTTCGTTGAGTATTGAAAAAATTATACTCATTTGAATCTTACCCAGTTTCCGGCGACCGCAGTGACTTTCGAGGCATTTTCCGGCCAAACCACGACGAGTCAGACATCTTGTGAGGTACCATTCTCTTCGTCTCTTCGAGGGCTACAACTTTCGTTTTTGTCTTGCTTGATTTCGTTGAGTTTTGACAAAGTTATGGCCGTTTAAAGGGGGTGTAAATTTTCGGCCGAAATTCTGATTTTCTCTCCCTTGGGTGAGTCCCACATCGCCCATGCGAGGGCAGTGAGCAAGCAATTTGTCCTATAAAACCCACATTCCCCGGGCAGTGAGCAAGCAATTTGTCCTATAAAATCCACATTCCCCTGCTGAGAAAGGCATAGCTTGTTCGGCCTTTGGGCTATGATCAAGTGAAGTATGAGTTTTCTCAACATATTTAAGTATTTTTTAGTATTAAGTCGCGATATTATTGATAATTTCAAAAATATTGCAATATTATCGATAATATCGCGATATTTTAACAAAAATCGTTCGGATAGTTAAAAAAATATCGAACTTCCAAAAAAACGATAATATGGCGAAATATCGCCGATATTATCGATTTTTCTTCCATGATCATAGCCCAAAAGGCCGAACAAGCTATGCCTTTTTTAGCAGGGGAATGTGGGTTTTATAGGACAAATTGCTTGCTCACTGCCCTCGCATGGGCGATGTGGGACTCGCCCAAAGGAGAGAAAATCAGAATTTCGGCCGAAAATTTACACCCACTTTAAACGGCCATAACTTTGTCAAAACTCAACGAAATCAAACAAGACAAAAACGAAAGTTGTAGCCCTCGAAGAGACGAAGAGAATGGTATCTCACACGACGTCTGACTCGTCGTGGTTTGGCCGGAAAATGCCTCGAAAGTCACTGCGGTCGCCGGAAACTGGGTAAGATTCAAATGAGTATAATTTTTTCAATACTCAACGAAATTGAGTGAAACAAAAAGGAAAGTTGTACTACTCGACGAGACGAAGAGATTGATACCTTGTACGCCGGCCAACTCGCCGTGGTTTGACCGGACGAATTATAAAACAATTGACACACTCTTGGCTTCCAAAATTCAATTCTTTTACTTTATATAAACTTGAAAAAAACATAATCGGCATCCAAATTAAAGTTTAGTCTTATTCAACCTATTGATTTTCAATTATTAATTGATATACTATAATTTGGAACTTCAACGCCTAGACGCATGCTTATGTGTAAGAAATTTAAAGTGTCAAATTCGGCACATTATTCTTCATCATTTTATTCAATTCCTTTTTTTTTTAATATCCTAAATAAAACCTCCCAATATTGTACTAATTAGTTATATATAAATGATTATGGTGTGTTTAAACTTCTTTCATTAATTACTACATATTTTCTACACTCACAATGTTTGCCAGCTCGTTATATAATCAACTTAAATCAGTTAAATCCATCATGCAATGCATTTTCTTTCAATTTTTTGTGATAAACTAATAGATAATTGACTAAATAAACATCCTGCAAAGTTTCATTAAAAATTTCCAAGTTTTTCTTACAATTTCCGTGGTTTCCATGTAATTTTTATCGATATCGATATTATCCCGATATTTCCATCAATATTTCCGTATTTTCGGACTACCGATATTTCCAATATTACCGATATTTTCTTCCTTGTTCCTAACTCAATTATCATAATAATACCAGTTAGTAATCTTTTATTAGTGTTCAATGGTGATGGTGATGGATGATGATGATGGTGATGGTGATGACAACCTATGAAGTCTGTGGGAACCTTTCCATTGGAATATCTGCCAGTTGGCATTCCTCCCTTGAGGTCTTTTCCGTAGGGAAGGAAATTGCAGCGTGCAAATGTCTTGAAGTTTTCGTTGTTGTTGCCGGTATCAACAATCGAATCTCCGAATGCAATAACAGCCGGGACAGTCACATTCTTCGGCAGCTTGACTGTCGCAGCTGCCTCAATGACGTATTCTTACTAATAATATTGCAGAAGAAAATCACGAAAATTACATATGACTGCATCTGCAGCCTGCGCAGTTTAGGACTAAATAGCCCTAGTCCTCCTGCAACTGCATGCATCTGGACAATATCACCAAGTGGCAGGTGCACAAATATAAATGATCTAAAAGAAATGAGCATAATCTTGTGGTTCTACAGTTTATATATGGTTAAGATCGAGTCTGGACCCAAAAAAAGTTCGAGCCATAGATTTTTCTGAAGCGAAGCTGTCAGATGGTATTCATTTATTAACAACCCAAATAAATATTTAGCTATCAAAAATTAATGTTACTCTTATCACATTTTTTACACTATATTTGTACCACCTCTTTTAATAATGATGGGACTTAGATGTGTTGTTGGGTCTACCGCAATTAAAGAAGTGATACAGATGTAAAATAAAAAATGGAGAATATTTTTGTTCACCATCATGTTTATCAACATTAAATGAGTTTAAATTTTGACATTTGTGTAGTGGATAAACATAAATTTAAAATTTAAACTCATTGGGTTTGATTTTCGCCAAATATAAAATTGAACCACATTATTTTGACAAATTCATTGTAAGACTAAGTTCACTCCCCATCCCTTAATGTACATACCATCGTTTGTTCAAAACTTAAATAATAACAATATACAATAATGTGCATTACCAGTATTTGAGATGTGTATGTGTGTAACGTCACTCCTTCTTTGGTTGTACTAAATTTCAACATGCAGTAAATATTTAGGTGGCTTAATTAGGCTCTCCAGGCTGATATATAACTGACAAGATAATAAGAGCACCCCATACCCCCGGCGCCCTACCACCCACTAAGCCAAATATAAAATAATATTACAATTCTCAAATAAAGCATGATTTATGCATATGTGATTAAACTAATGCTATTTTACGTTTTGATGGCCGTCTAATCAATTCTAGAGGGAGCTCGATGCTTAACAACCACCACGGCCGCTTTTAATTGCTTGATGTGGAAGTTGTTTGGCGGGGGCTCGTACCCTCTTGATATACAGTGGAGAATTCATAAATATCAAATCAATCAATGTTGCGCGTATTTCTTAATTATCGACGTGAATTGTCTGCCTTTCTATTTCTATACTTTTCATATTAATTTTTATATTAATTTTTTTTATAAAAATAATAAAATATAAAGTAATAGAAATATAAAAAGTTAACATGGCTTAATCGTGACCACACAAAACAGGAGAAGATAGAAAAAGTATGAAAATGGAAGGACAGACAATCCACCTCTCTTAATTATAAACTCTACTTTAAGGATACACGAATTATGGGGCATGCAGGGCATCTGCTTGTAAATTTTGTGTTGTGGCTCTGCATGTGAATATGATGCAGTTGGAAGTTGACTTATAAATGAGGATGGTTAGATTATTTGACACGTTCCAATTCTATATTCTCCGAACATCAAGATAGGCATGTGCTAGCCGACACCCGAGGGTAACGAAAGTCATTTATTGAATGCAAATGTTGATAACAAGAATAAATAAGACTTATAAATTTAGGAACGTGTTTAGAATATATAACTAACTAGAAAACTAAAAGAAATAATATAAAATTTAATGAACAAAGTAATGGGTCCTACACCGAGATGACTCGAAAATGCAAATGCATAAGTGCCTTGATGCTGGGATTGTACGCCTCGATTCTAAGTCATGAGGGGGCGCAAAACAAATATGAGTGGACCAAGTTGATATATATATATATATATAATATTGAAACAGTTATCAACATACTAACTCACAAAGTTTTATGAAAACTAATAGAATAATAAGTGGTAGATTTTCCGAAAACTCTAGCATGCCATAAAACATCTCATAAAACATATTTCATATGTAGTGTGCTAACTAGTGGTATCATAATCGCCCAAAGGCAAAACATAAAACACTTCCTTCACAAGTATCAATCGCTCGTGGGTTCCTACAGCACCCACCTGAAGGCATATATAGTATCAATCGTCTGAAGGCTCCTACAACACCCACCCAAAGGCATATATAGTATCATTGGCCCGAATGCTCCTACAACACCCACCTGAAGGCATATATATATATCAATCGCCTGAAGGCTCTTACAACACTCACCCGAAGACATATATATAGTGATCACTAGACACGCACAAGACCATTGAACATAGTCTTTCCAAACATAGGTGTATGTGTGTGTGTGTGTGTGTATATATATCTCTCTCTCTCACTCTCTCTCTCACACAAAAACATCTTCATAGTATAAAGTCATCCATCATCTATACTATAAAGAAGTGTTATAAAAACATGTTCTAAATAGTATATCGTCATCCATCAGATATCCTACAAGAACCTGGGTTCGATAGAAAATATGGTATTCCAAAATAAGCTCAGTATAGCATGATAATAAATTTCTCATAAAACGTAATCATTAAATCATGTTTTTCATGTATGCATTTCTACTATTAAAACATGCATTTTAGAAGGGGCCCACTCACATATACTTTGTTGTCAAAGAGCCACACAAACTAGCGAAGACGAAATCGTCACAATATATGCACCTAAACATATAAAGAGACCAATTAATAAAACTATATTATAACAATTGAATTTGGGAAAACGGATTTAGGATGTCGAATTACCCTAAGAATGGTCCCAGGTAAATTTCATAAAAGTCAACACAATGAATATTCCAAAGAATATTCCTTAATGAAATATTCCCCATCAAGGGTTTTGGCCTGTTAGGGTTTAGGGTTTGAAAGGTTAAAGGGTTTAGTGGGCCGAAGGTCCTATATTAAAAGGGTTGGACTTTAAGAGTTTAGGTTTAGTTTCAAACAAATAAAACAAATAAATAAATAAAAGGGGTTTGGGCTTTGGGGGTCACGGGCCTAAGGCCCGAGTTCTAAATGGCCCAAAGGCCTAAGTGACAAAGGGTTAGGGGTTTAGGCTAAAAGGGTTGGGCCTAAATTCAGATTTAGGTTTGGGTTTAAAAAGGTTTTGGGTTTGGGCTTGGGTCACAAGGGCCCAAGGTTTAGGCTAGGTTTCTGATTCTGAGTCGGGTTTGACCCGTTTAACTTGTGGGTCGTCGGACTCCAAGAAGGTCATATTTCGGCTGGAAAATTAGACAAAATTTAAACGTTCATAACTTTGTCAATACTTAATGAAATCAAGTGATTCAAAAATGAAAATCATAGTTCTTGACGAGAGGAAGAGAATGGTACCTTGCATGACGTCTAACCCGCCGTGGTTTGGTCGGAAAAAGCTCGAAATCCGCAGAGGTCACCGGAAACTAGGTAAGATTCAAATGAATATAACTTCTTCAATACTCAGCGAAATTGGGTGAAACCAAAAGGAAAGTTGTAGTATTCAGCGAGACAAAAATATTGATACCTTGCACGATGGCCAACTCACCGTGGTTTAGCCAGAAATTAGCTGGAAATCACCGGACTCACCGGTAAAACTGGAAAAACACCTCCCCGAGTTGTTCTACGTCCAACCAATGTACACAAACATCAAACCTACCCTAACTAACCTTAAAACACACCCCACAAGGTTTTAGAGTCTTACCCTTGGCCGTAGACGACAGAACATGTCGGGGAAGGTTGCACAGTGACGGGAGGGAGGGGTTCCTCCATCGATCCTGGGTTTGTGGGACTCGCAAAGGATATGGGGAAGGGGTGAGGTCGTCATGTTGTGTGAGTGTGCATGAGTGTATATGTGTATGGGAGCTCGGGGAAGAGAGAGCACATAGAGAGGGAGAACGGGAAAGTGAGGAGAGAAGGAGAAGACTGAGAGAGATGAGAGATGAGAGGCTTGGGGGACAAAAATCATGGGGTGGGTCCCCTGGGCTCACTTATTAAGATCCAAAAATAATTTTTTTAAATAAAAACCCAAAACTTAGTAAAATTATAAACTAAATTTGGGAAAGGGGTTTTACATTACTAATGTATTATAAATGAAAACTAATGAAAATGGCTTGAAAACTTTGAGTTTTAATGATAAGGACAAAATAAAGGGTAAAGTGAATAGTACCAGGATTGACTTTTTAATGTAAAAATGTGGTTTTTCGTTAAAGTGAACAGTACCGGGTGCTTTTCGTTAAAGTTTCCGTATTATAATGGTCGAGATGAAGCGAAATGCGAAAAAATGCTTAAGTTATGTTATTGAATTAGACGTTGGGGAGCTATGATGGAGAAGCAAACTCTTTTTATCTTTCCTGTTTTTTGAAGGGTGATTTTATTCTAACCCAATTAACTAAGAGATTTGGGATCAAATTCTATATTTGTGTTCATATATGTGTTTGGCTAAAGTGAAATTCAAATATATATATGAGATTTGAGTTCAAGGTGAAGCTCGTGCCAACAAGTAAAAATGTTATTCAACTAAAAAAAATATTATTTATTTGAGTCCAATCATCTCTAATGCACATACCTAAATTAATATTTTCTCATCCAATGCAAAAACTTGAATCTTAAAATCCAAAATATAAATATATATAACTAAGAATATAGTCATTGCATAGGTGAAATTTAAAAACTTTAAACCCATTTTTGAATTCAAACATGATAATATAGGTTTAAAATGAGTTGTTTCATTGTCCCCTCTTAATGTAGATAATATCGGTTGTTAAAAAAAAATGAGTTGTTTCATTGTAGATTCTCTAAGCTATTACCTCCTCTCATATTGAAAACGTGAATATGATCACATTGGCTAAAGTGAACGTGTTATCACATGTATAATAGAGTTTGATTTTCTCCTGTTTAAATTAATTAAAAGTTAAATAACGCACCATGTAAAACAAATGCAGAAACTCAAAATCCTATACGTGAAATGAAAATCGATTAATTGGAGCCGTCCATGTCCATTCATGTTTCCTTTTCAAGCCAATCTGAATTTTCTTTCAATTACTCTGTCATCTACTAAACACGCAATCAGTACATAACATCATCCACGCCCACCCACCTTCTGTAACTCATTATTTCTAACAACTCTTGATACAACGATGTGTGCTTGAACGTGAAACTCAATGAAAACAAATGAATTAATTAACTTTAACTAATTTCAATAATTTTGTCTAATCAGTGCTCAAATACTGGATAATCATGTTTCATAATTCCGTACAATTTGCTTAATTTAATTATTACTTGTTTGTGTGTGATCACACCAAGTGGGGGAGATATTTTGTTATGAGTTCGTCGACGATGATTTTGTAGGCGCCCTCAGTCGGGTGGTAGCTGTCCCAAAATAGATAATGAGAGTCATCCGTACACGTCTCTGGCTCGAATCGATTGCACAGAATGGACACCTCCAGCTTCCCACTCCCGCAACACCCTTTGTTCGAAACTTCAAACCCTAATGCAAATTCAACACAAAATTCGTTAGTCTTTGAGATGTCGTCAAAGGGCGTGTTTGAGATTGCTTTCGTAAAAAACATGTATGCTCATAAATTTTTCTGTTAGAAATACTTTCATTACAAATGCACTGAAATTATGAATACAAATCCAAGAGCTTCCTAAAAGATAGGGTTGAGGTTTTACCGTAATTAGTAGGGTTGATGATCATATCCAAAAGTGGGTTGTAGATGTCGACGTAAATCAGCATCGAGTTAGGTAGGTTATTCTTGAGGTCGTCCAGCTCAGCAGAGAGCTTAGAGTTAAAGAGCATGGCTGCTTGGTTTGGTTTGTCTGCACAATCTCTTTCCACGCCTCCTCCTAAAGTCCTCTGAGATGGCAGACACCCAATAGGTGGTGCACTGAAAACACCAATTCTTCGTGCCCCCAATGCATACAATCCCTTCAAATACGAACAAGGTATCACACATCCAAAATGCAAATTACAAAACAACACTTTACAAACTTGATCACATATAACAAAATGAAACAAAATTATTGAAAGATAAACACGTAATATAATCAGTTCACGTATAACATTGTATTGATTATGCAGGTTGACCAAACTAATGATTGCTCATAAAACCGGATTTATGTCTAATTATTTCTTAATTAAAAGTTACCTTAAAGAAATCGGAAGCTTGATTGAGCATGAGGTCAGTGTAAGAAGGAACATCATACTCTAACTTCCTAACGCCGGCAACAAAGTAGGTATTAGCAATATCGTTGCTACTTGCAACCACAAAACATAGACTGTTGGCTAGGATGAAGTTTGCTCTCTCTTCTCCCACAATTCCTTTGAGCTTTCCTATGTACTCTTCAAATTGCCGCAGTTGATCGAACAATGGTGTAACTGCCTATTTAAATTTCACCAAGGAATCATTAGTAACGTAATTAGATGTTAAGCTTGATAAGCATGAGAAACTTTCTAAAGTACTCGAAATACTGCCACATATATCATGATTCTACTAAAATTATAACACGTATATTTGTATGTTACTAAACGAGTGTAATAGTATATCACGTCACAAATGTTATGAACACACATAAAATTTCATTGATAAACAGATGAGTAATGCTATGGAGACTAAATTTGAAGACAAAATTTATAAACTAAATGATGTGTCACCAATAAGAATGAGCACGTTTATCAACGCTTAAGTAATAAACCAATCAACAACTTTCATATCTATTAATTTTCAAATTTTATCTGCAAATTTAATCTCTATAACATTATTGTACACATACTAATGAAAAGAAATATGCAAGTCGTGATACCACAATTTGGGCTGTCATAGGATCATATCCGGTGGCACCAACGGCAAAGCTGACACCTGTAAGCAGATCATTGGGCTGTAGGTTTGGATCCAAATAGGCTGGCAGGAGCTCTTTAATACCTAACTTTTCCACTGAAATAAACAACGCATAAAACCAAATCAAATGAAAGTTTAGTTAATTAACTTGCATTACGATCAAGATTGAAGAAACTGTACCGCCAGTTGCCACCACTCACAAAACTAAAGGACCATTTTGTAAATTTCATATCATTGGTTTCACATTGTCGTTAAGTTAACCAACTTGAATTTGCTCTTGGACGGTCATACGAGATACGAGTTCTAACTTCTAAGGTTACATGGACAAGGGCTGTGTTTTATGAGGGCTTTCATTGGGCGTATATAAAGCCACTTGTAAGCTCTATATGAAGAAACGTCTAGCAAGTGCTTTTATGACCCATAATCACTTTTAATTTTGTCAGTCTTACTTTTTTTGTCAATAATATAAAAAACACTCTTAACCATTCCATAAACAATCACAAACTTTGAAGTAGTCAGAGAAAGAAACACTAGGAGGGCGAGGCAATCTGCGGTCTAGAATCAAAGATTCTATGCAAAGATCCCTTATTTGCTCAATGTGATTCATTCTCACAACTTCTTACGTGTGACGAATTTATAAGCTTAACACGTGAACAACACAAATCGGACGACAGGGAGCGTATGTGTCCATTTAGCTTCACATGTGGGACCACATACTTTGATACCATAAAAGAGGTTGAGATTCTACCATAAAGCAATTGACAATATAGAAAATAACTCAAACACTTATAAACACATATAATATCTCTTATTTCCCGATGTGGAATTCATTCTAAATAATATCTACATATAAAAGATACGATAATGTTGATTGATTTGCAATTCCATTTACTTAAATATTTTATAAACAATATTGAAACTACTTTAATTAATATTGAATTTAAATGCGGACACGCTTTCTTGATCGGTTGAACCAACCGACATATGCAATAAATAAGTCAAACACTAGTATTGCGTATCAAGTGCTTTTATGGAAAAAGAAAAAAAAATTATCAAGTGCTTAATTTATTCACTAAGAAAACCGAATTGTAGTATTAATTAGTATCATGTATCGTGTGAGAGTGAGAGTGAGAGTGAGAGTCAAACACAGCAAAAGCAGAAGCAGAAGCACCACCTATGAGGTCAGAGGGAACCTTTCCATTGGAATATCTCCCAGTAGATATTCCTCCTTCGAACTCCCTGCCGTAGGGAGGGAAATTACACCGAGCTGGCGTCTTCAGGTTGACGTTATTGTTCCCTGTATCGACGATGGAATCGCCAAACATAAACACAGCGGGAATCGTTGCATTGGGTGGCAGCTTAACGACATCACCTCCAACCGCTTGGTTTCCCAAAATCACCAGACCACAACAAACAAACAGAAAAAATCTCAATAATAATGTGGTCATCACTGAATACGACTGCAAATTTCTCTGTTTGGTTCTTCCCCAAGTAGCCGGGCTAGCCAGTTGACTAAACTAAACCAAACAACGGAAAAGGATGAAGAGAGGGAGCCAACTTATGGGCCCTGATTGGTTGCGAGTGCATTTATATTTATATTTATTGGATTTGGATCCTTTCTTAGGCAATTGGCCGACGTTCTCTTACCAGTGTTTTTGGACTGTTGAATTTTTATTTAACGGCTGTAATTATTATAACTTTTAAAGAACTCTATTTGTAATATCTAACGGTCTACAAACACTGATCAAGAGGATCCCAACTAGCTGACTCGGAAACGATCCAAATCCATATTTATTAGAGCAATTCCACCCATGGAGCCCTTCCCCCTGGCAATCCACTATTCAATCCACCCTATTAAACAGTAACTGCCTTAAATGAATAGTAACTACCATTAATGAACAGTAATTGTCATTTACATCTCCACCCTTGGAACCCTCCCCTTGGCAATAAACAATTAAAATAATAGTTTTTTTTGTTTGTTTAAATAATAAAAAACCCCCTCTCTCTCTCTCTCTCTGACACAAAAAAAAAAAAACAATTACAAAGCCATCGGGCCACAGGCCCGTCGACTTCCCACCCCCCATTCGCTCGGCCTCCCACCCTCACTCGGGCCCTTCCCCGCTGGAGCTGCTCCCACCGGCCCTCAGGCCCTTTCTCCTCCCCTGTCGCCCGAGCAACCAGCATCCGCTGGAGTTGCTCTTATACATATAAAGGGAGCTGCAGACAGCCCGTACTGTCATTTAGATCGATCATCAGACACAAGACATGCCTTGTTAATGCAAATGCAATAATGCATATAGTAGGTGGTAGCGTACGTAACTACTAAATACAATTTTAAAATAATAATTAAAACCAGGCAAGAGAAGCCCAACAGTACAACGAAAGCCAAAACACAGGAAACCAGCCAAAAAACAGACAGAACAAGGGGGTAGAAGAAGGCTCAATGTGTCCCCCCTTGCACCTCCTCCCACACAAAATTAAGGCAGGCAGGTGAACTATCCTTGTTCAAAACATGCACCAGCGAAAATGGGGGGCGGTCGACCCAAGACACATCACACATCTCTGCACATCTGTGTGACATCAAATAGTCCTCCACCAAATTGGCTGATCTTGGGACCCAAGATCAGCAACAGTCTTGAAAGGCCTCCCCAAGCTTCAAACACTTCACTAAAATATGATAAGCCTCCCATCTGCCCTCAAAGATTGAACCCCGCATACATGAAATAGTTCCTTGAGAATCAGATTCAACCAAGGAAGAAAATATCGGTAATATCGGAAATATCGGTAGTCTGAAAACATAGAAATATCGATGGAAATATCGAGATAATATCGATATCGATAAAAATTATATGGAAACCACGGAAATTGTAAGAAAAACTTGGAAATTTTTATTAAAACTTTGCAGGATGTTTATTTAGTCAATTATCTATTAGTTTATCACAAAAAATTGGAAGGAAATGCATTGCATGATGGATTTAACGGATTTAAGTTGATTATATAGCGAGCTGGCAAACATTGTGAGTGTAGAAAATATGTAGTAATTAATGAAAGAAGTTTAAACACACCATAATCATTTATATATAATGAATTAGTACAATATTTTACACTTTATACATTGTATGGTAAGATACATGAGTGACTTAGTACCACATAGAATTCTTATGAGGTTCAAAATTTTCACTATGTTGAAGGAGTAAAATGGGAGGGGTTCGAATCCCCTTGGTGTTTTTTTTAAATATAGAAATTTATCCTAGATAATAAATATTAGCTTGCAAGCCTTGCAGACATCTTAACGACCATATAAATATTACCGGCTGAATATGTAATCACAAACACATATGTAATCACAACTTATTTATAATGTACTCAATTTTTATAAAAAAAAAATAAGAAAATTACCATTTTGTTATATATATTTTCCAGATCCGTATACGTCAAATGTGCGCAGATCAAATCATATCAGATTAGATATTTTGCACACCCCAAGACGTCCACGTACAAGTCAGTAAAAACCCTAAATCACCACACGGTGACACTAACATTACTCGCACCTCTCTGCCCTCTAATTTACGAAAGACCTCGTGTCTTCCCTTCGTTTCACATAATATTTTCCCCTCCGAGCCTCCACCTCTCTCTCTCTCTCTCTCTCTCTCTCTCTCTAGTCATTTTCCTTCCAACCAAACAGTCCAAAATTTTCCCATAAAATTCCAAAAAATGGACTCGACGCCAATTAACTGGGAAGCCCTAGACGCTATCGTCATCGATTTTCGTCAAATCGGAGAAGCTAATCAAAGACGACGACTCCGCCTTTACGACGTCGCCTTCCCCTTCCTCTTCCTCTTCCCCCTCCTCTATCTCCTCGTCGTCGTACCACTCGAGATTGATCATTCGTCAGATCATGCGAACGCAGGAACCCTCGTCTTTCTCCCTCTCCTTCTCATCTCTACAACTCGGCGAACACAGGAACCCTCTGGCGAGTTCCTTCAATTTCTCCAGTTAGGTAAGCTTCGGGTTTTCTTTTTATGTTCTAGATCGAAGCTTAGATGTGAAATTGAAGTTCTATCTCGTCTTTTTGCAAGGTTTTTGGGATGAAATCGACTCGGGAATATCTCCGGTGAGGCTGTGGGTGTCGATGAACTTTCCGAACACCTCCGGCCGTTTCACGGCAAACAGACGTTATAAAAACGTTCATCTCGTCTTCTATTTCATTTTCATACCTAGATTGGAGTCTAGGGGGTTGTTTTACAATCGACCGGAGCTGTAGAAGCTTCGACGTTCGTCTCCGACTTGCACAGTTTCGAAATTTCGCGATAATATCGATAATATAGCGATATTATCGATATTATCGCGAAATTTTGACGAAAACCCCTTGGATACCACTTAAAATATCGGTTTGGGGAAAAACCGATAATATCAACGATATATCGCCGATATTATCGATATTTTCTTCCTTGGATTCAACCACCACATGAGTCAGATTCAAATAGAGACCCAACTCACAACCAGCCTGCAAAGCCAAAGCTTCCGCACATCATAGAATGAATTAGAACAAGAACGAGAATCCCTTTTTCTCTATTTGTCAATTAATTGTTAATCTTTTTTATTCGATGACAGGTTGCACATGGCATATAAATTTTCTCATCTACCAAACATCAATATTTAAGACACGGGGGCTAAATGAATCAATGAGATCTCACCGGTACTGTTTTTGGAGTCTCTGCCCAAAACATAAAACAAGAAGGGGTATGCTATCCACACATTTCATTTTACTTCTTACACATCCTTGATAATTTCTGTCCGTTGATCTTCTTCAATTCATTCAATCCGATGGCCGAAAATTAAAAAGATGTGTGAGAAGTAAAATGGGATGTGTGGATATCACATCCCAACAAGAAGGGCGGTAGGAGAGGCTAATTAGCTCAAAGAGCACAGTTACTATAGTCATGCAAAACTACAAGAAACTTTCATGACATCAAATCAGGGGTCAGAGTTAGAGGTTTTTAATGTTCTATTTGAGTGCCTAATCTAACCATAAGAAGCTCATGACGTAGAATAGATGGCTGAAAGAACTAAAGAGCAACTTTATTAACATTGCAAATTTAGACTCTATTAATTAGGAGCATGATCCACCGTTTCAAGGAGAATAGTGTCATGAGCATGACTTATTGATGTGTGCTGACATGTGAGCATTTTTGGCCGAATTAGAGTCACGAGCAAGACTCATGATTCACCGTTTTCTCAACTCATGGTGGATTCTAGATTTTGAATTTAGAGTATATATCATTCGAAACGATTAATTTCACAAATAATTTCATCAAATCCTTCACCTCAACATGTACTACATGGTGCAAGAATATCTATATATATAGTCATGTGCAATAACTAATAATTGGTTGAAATAATTTGAATATAGAATTATGGATAAATGCAAGCAGTTGGGGAGATGTGAGATCTCCTTGTACATACTTGTGTTGGTTTTCCGATATCCATTGAATTCATAAAATAGAATTGGGGCCGTATCAGGAGAATAAGAGTTGAATATCAGAGTGTGCAACAAACAAGATTACAAAATAATACGAATATTATTAAACTAACGAGAATGCCGAAACGGCTACAAAACCCTAAAATGCTACATTGTGAATGACTTAATTATTCTACGAGCTACAAAGCACCATATATATAGAGAACTAATTTAACCCTAATAAGCAAAAAAACGAAACCCTAATATTAATGGGCTAAGCCCAAATTCAAACAATAAAATAATCCTAAATTCCAACATCCCCGTCAAACTCATGGCGGTACACGTCATGGGTTTGCTAACAAGTAGATGCGGATACAAGCTCCGTTAGGCGGACATGAGAAAGCAAACTCTGTTAGGCTAACACGACAAGACAAGCTCTGTTATACGAACATGACAAGGCAAGCAGGTGAGCAATCAAGCAAGCAAGCTCCGGTGTTGAGGCAGACCTCGAGTTTTCACTTTGATTTCGTGGTTTTCGGGACAAATTCACTGTGCGCGTTTGCGTTGAATCTGGCGGTGCTTCTGTAGGTGGGAAAGACCTCTGCTTTGACTATGAATGTTGCTGGGGTTGTCAAATATTGGCTTTTGATTGCATTTTCGTGGTCTGTGATCAAGGATACCGTGACACCTATCAATTTGATGAGGTACCTGATTTGGCAAATTCAACTTTTTTTTTCTTCTTCAAACAGCAAAACCCTAATTAATACAAACTGATACAAACAAATTGACACCAATCAAGAGCAGATTAAATTCCCAATGATCAAACCTGCTCTGATACCAAGTTGAATATCACAGTGCGCAATGAACAAGAATACAAAATAATAGAAATATTATTAAACTAACGAGAATGCCAAAACGGCTACAAAACCCTAAAAGGCTATATTGTGAATAACTTTATTATTATACAAGCTACAAAACACCATATATATAGATAATAAAATATTCTTAAATTCCAACAATAAGAGTATCTAATGGTGCATGCATTCCTCCAGCTTCGTTGTGAAGAGCAACGACTTGCGAACGCGTAATTCATCGATCTTTACTAGCTATTTGTTTTTTGTGTCACTTGATTGTTAATAAATAATTGATCGTCCTCCAAGTCACATCGTACTTAACTATGTCGTAATAATGCATGCATCTAATCTCCCAACTGCATCTCTGGCCCTCTGGGTAAATTCTCAACCCAGAAATTTATTACAAAATTATAATATATATACATCCATATCTATAACGTGGTAGCTTGCCTGCCAAGTGGTCATCTAAAACTTAGGAGAAAATTTTGTTATGACCGGAACATGGGTGATACATCATGTATTTTTATATAAGTGGTGAAAAATTTTATTTTTAAATTATTAACATTTTGACATACATATCTTACTATTTATATAATGATACGTGGTGTACTACTCCGTATTCCGAACACATTGAAAATTCTGTGTAAAACTTGGCATCGATCGTGTATATAGGTCGTTTTCTCATGCAACGTGTTGAATTTGTTCTTAAAACGAGCATGGGCTCGTGATAACGAACTATCATTCGTGCAACTGTCAATTTAAACTATTCAATTCAAAATTTTTGGATTTCTTGCATGATACAACAAGATTTTAATATTAATGAGTTGTGGTACATTTTCTTCAGAAGCCATTTTGCACTCTAAATTCAACCATGACCTACTTTTTTGCTAAACACTAAATCAAAGACAACCATACTTAATCCCTTAATTAAGGATAACTTGGAATCAACTGGATATTTAAAAATACTACTTGAATTTAATTACTTTTATAGAGTGAGAGCACTTTCTTGAGCGGGCACCAACACAGACTCAGAGAGACAAAAAGCTGAGGGAAGTAAATTAATATAATGTTTATTATTACTTTTTCTTCCAAAAATATGAAAGCTGATTACATGACTTGACTTGAGAATTGAGGATTAGCGACGTGCATAAACAATCAATTCATAATGTCATATATGCTGATTTTAACAAGCATATTAATTAATTAAAAAAAGAAGTCTTTAATGTATCTCTGAAGAAGTGGAGGAATGAGTACATTGTAGGTTCGTTCTGTAGGATGATAACTGTCCCAAAACACATAATCGGATGGATTTTCACACGTAGAATCGAACTTGTTGCACAACACTGCTACCTCTATGTTCCCCGTTCCACAGCAACCTTTCTCCACAACTTTAAACCCTAAAATTCATTAACCCAAAAATCATTAACCAATTCAAAATATTAAACTAATCTCAACTGCATATTATTTAGTTAGAATAATTACCACTTTTGGCAGGGTTGAGAATTATATCGAGCAGTGGATTGTAAATATCCACATAGACGATTTTACTGTGGGGCAGGGCGGAGCTCAAGGAGTTGAGTGAGCTGGACAGTTTGATGTTGAATAACTTTGCCGCATCGTTGTATTCTTCTGCACACATTCTCAGAATTCCTCCACCCAAAGTTCTTTGTGAAGGCACACATCCTATTGGCGGTGCACTGAACAAGCCGATCCTTCTCGCCCCAAGTTTATACAATTCCTACCAATTAATTACCATATCATTAGTAAATAAGGGATTGTTTATAACTTGTTAATCCAGTGGGTCAATTATTATCAAGGGAAAATTGAAATAGAAAAATTTACAATTAATCACCCAAACTCCCTGTTGTCTTGCAACTTGGCACCGAAATGACACGGCAGCCTTATTTTTAAAAACATTCTCGTCATGTATCACGGATTGAGATTCTTTCAAGATCTCACGCTCCAAAGCCCACGAATTAGACAATTTGGAGCGTTCAAATTGAATATTGAAGAGAGATTATGTGTGAGATAAGCCAGTCAGATAAACTAATAAGGATCGCATAATTTAAATTAAAAGTTCTAAATTGCTCGGTTGCGAGCTCTAGTGTTGGACAGGTTCTCAATCCATAGATCACGACTAGCTAGAGTACTTGAAATTGTTTAATTATTCTATCAACATGTACTATATTATTGCCAAAATAGGTGTTGCACGACATTTGTCTTTGTACTTTCCTTCAATTTTCTTTAAAACTCATCAGCAAACATGGACCCTAGTTGAATCAAATGACATGAATAGACTTAAAAATACTGAAAAGGTTCCCAAGTAAAAAAATTCAGTTAATATTTTGTGCAAATTTCTCAAGTTTTATGTTACCTTGACGAAACTAGATGCAGAGTTGACCATGAGGTCAGTGTAAGCAGGAACACTATATTGAGCTTTTCTTATGCGAATGGTAAAATAAGTGTTGGCGATGTCATCGCTGCCGGCAACCACTAGAACTAGAGCGTTGGATAGAATGAACTGGGTTCTCTCTTCTCCAACAACGCCTTTGAGCTTCACGATATACTCTTTGAACATTTTCAACTGATCATCCATTGATATAACTGACTGCATTTTATCATCAACATTGTGAAAAATAATACGGATTGGTTATAGAAAGTATAATCTTTGAGCACAACAATTTATTCCATTGATATATACATATGTGTATGCGCGCGCGTGTTATAACGACGTACCACTATCTGGGGTGTCATTGGATCATATCCGGTGCCACCTGAAGCAAAGACAACTCCCGCGGGGAGATCTTGCGGTCGTAGATTTGGATCCAAATATGCCGGCAAATACTCTTGGATTCCCAATTGTGACGCTGATCATAACCAAAATTAATGTAGACATATAAAATATGAATTTTTGTTATTCATTTGCAATTCTCATGCATGGATTTTTGTCCAATTCTTTTCGAATAAATTTTGAAAATGTAGATACAAGTGTTAAGAAAAGCAACTCAACAGAAGGGGAAAAACATGACGAAATGGATAAATGGATAAATGTATGTTTGTATGCGAGAGAGGATTGTTATACCTATGATGTCAGAGGGCACCTTGCCATTGCCAAACCTGCCAGTAGGCTTGTGCTGCTGGAAATCTCGTCCATAAGGAGAGAAATTGCACTTAACAAGTGACTTAAGATGGTTGTTGTTGCCGGTGTCCATGATCGAATCGCCAAACACAATCACCGCCGGAAAGGTCTGGTTTGATGGCAGCATCACCAGTCCCTCTGTGGCGGTAGGGTACTGGAAAACACCAAAAACTACAACACAAACGCATAATATCAACCGGGACGACAGCAA